ATCAAAACCAGCTAAATGATTGTGACAAAAAAGTCTGATTTTGGTCTTGAAACAATAGAAACCAATTTTATTGTAACATCAAAAATGATCTCATGATCTGAAATTGGTCTGAATTGGGAATAGTACGGGCAAAAACAGATTAAATTCTAATATAAAATAGATACACATAATAAAATTAAATAGAATGAAAAATATTAAAAATTTTCATTAATCGTAAAACAGATTAAATTTTTTGATCCGGGATATTAGATTTTCGTAAAATCACAATTCAATTATACCCATCTTTTCATAAATTTCAATGGTTATCTAATATAAAAATTATTGAAATATCTACCAGCATTGATTTCTATATTTAGTTTCAAACATTCCTTAATTGTCGTTGATTTATCCAATAAATTTATTTTAAAAGTATATGTAATTAGATCTATAAACTGCTATAAATTCTAATTACTTAAACTAACTAAAACAGTTATTTTCATAGTTGGATTAATTTACATGTTATTTCATTTCATGTTAATTTGCAGTTATCTTTTTTTAAATTGTGACGCTTAACTCGATTGCAATAATTATTATCGACTTATATATACGTACATCCAAGTGAATATTTCGTTGTTGGATTTATTAAGCATTTCAACCTCAAAAACCCTCGTCACCTGTCGCATTTAGTCTATAAATTTTTCTAAGCAGTGTGAAAATCGCATAATAACTCAAGCTATTGGATAAAATCAAGTAAAAATTTTTTCAGAAATAAATCAATTCAGCTTCGATGGCGACAATCAAAATTAATAATCGGCGATAGAAAAATAAATTAAAAAAATTAAAAATCGATTCTAATAAAAATAATTTAAATTAGAATTATAAATAAACTCTTTCATAAATAAATAGTACAAATAAAAAACAGAGATTAAAAAAAAATAATAATAAATTTTGAGAAAAACAAGCTTTCTGCCTATATGTCGGTATTTACATATACAACGTACAGGAGGATATTGGGACGTATTGTTGTTATGAATATCGGTAAAGTCTACTGTAGATAGTTATTTGTAATGCCAATTGCTCGTAGCGTTCATACATACATACATATAACATATTTCTGTAGGTATAGGCTAGTATATGATGCGAGCACAATTCGGGCATGAAAATCATGTATGATCGTGTGATTCAACGGATTTATACGCAATAACACAGCACACGAATCTACAATTTCATCTGGATATTAACGAAATGGCGTAAAAAATAAAAATAAAAAAAAATACGTAAATTTCAGTGAGATACTGGATATTCACGTGGGTATAATAGCGGATGATTTAATACGCAAAATGGATCGATAAATAAATTGATCGCTAGATAAACTGAGGGATTGAAGAGAGTTATTGTGAGAGAACGAAAAACATCCAAAATAACAACACAATAAAATACAAAAATTGACAAACAATGGACAAAATAATGGACATATGTGTGCGTGTGTGTGTGTTGAATATGGAAGAGTAGCAGTAATACCTGTAGGTATATTTATAGTAAGGGAAGAGTTATTATAATTTAATATGAGTGAATTGTGAAAAGAGGAAGAGGAAGAGACTTGGATGGTAGGTGGTGGAGGACAGAGAAAATCAGGAGGAAGAGGAGGATCACGAAAGCATCGGTTATCCAGTAATTGTACCATAGCGTGTTCAAGGCAGACGCTAATGGCAACGATGCAAATACCGATACCGTGTTCTAATGCTAGTGATTTCAAGCTACGATCAAAGTTTTAAAACATACGTGTGATGTGTTTTACGTGCACACTGAACCCAACACACGTATATGTATAACATATATACAACACCAGTCGATTCTATAATACGCCTCGTTTTACTAATTTTTTGTCGCTAGTTGTTATTATTTAAGTATTTTTATTTTTTAACAATACCGTTCCATATTTGAGGCAGGTATGTCTTTCGACACCTGCCTATATGATACTTGTTCCCGGCGGGCATAAAACCCTAATTTTCTCTCCGACCAACGTCCGAAAAATACCGCGAATATTGAGAGACGTTTATTCAGTGATAAAAAAAAAAAAGGTCGAGAGTTAAAAAAAGATAAAATGTAATTTGAACGGTAATTTGGCGATGTTATTTTGTATTTAAATTAATAAGGATGTGTAATAAGCTCATTTGAAGTAATTGGATGATGAGGTGAGAGGGGTTTTAAATATTTTCGAATCTTTAAGTTACCTTTTGAGTGGAGTTCTTCAGCAGCTTGCCCTCCATGTACCAGGACAGGTTGGCTGGTGGTCTTGAGCCGACGGTCATGCAGTTTATTTCGTACTTGCGGTCTGCACTTAGAGGTGCATGTTCGCTGCTAAGAATTGATACACTTAATGGTCGTACTGGAACAGAAAAATCAAGATACTTAACATGTTATTTAAATCATTTTTTTGAGGGATATGATGAATCTTTTTTTTGGTCAAATTATGTTTTTATTTTTGACACGTCTCATAACGCAAAGCGTTTGAGGTAGTGCTCTACTCTCAACTCGTCAAAATCAAGCAATTTTTTAACTTTAAATGCCTTTATTATACTCATATAGTACTTATAAGATAATATATGTACATCTATGTATAAATAAATACGAGTATCAACACATCAGGTACTTCTAAAAAATATTTATTCATCAGTTAAACATAAAAAAAACCTTTTGAAAAAAATTTCCTTAGACGTCAGTTAATCTGTATGTGTGGATCTTCGGTGGTCAAGATTACAAAGAAAATACTTGAAGAATCAGGACGATTTTTGTTTAAAACTTTAAAACTCCAACTAGAGCTTGCGGATTGAATATAGCTGTCGGATTTCGTATTGTTTAATTATAATTAATAAAAAACTTAATTTCCTGGATGTTTGTATATCTATATATAAATGGATAAATATAAATAAAAATAAAATAAAAAACAACTATAGTCGTTTCTTTATTAAAATGGTTTTTAATTTGAAAAATATAATTCCTTGGTTCTGATTTTGACATTAAGAATAAAAGTATAAGATGCAATGAAATTTGAATAATTTGAAAATTATAATGGATGAATTTGAATGGGATTCATCTATGATAATTTCGTAAGAAATAAAATTTTTAGTGAAACTAAATTTCTCGTCGAATCACAAGCTAACAAGTTGATCGTGTTATGCTGATTGATGAAAATTGTTGTATACTTTTCCTCATCAAACAATTTAAAATAACAATATTTGCATAGTTGGCATTGCATGACACGAGTTGGAATAAAATTTATACAATACTACAATTATAATAAAAAGAAAACAATGGAGCCGAAGTAAAACTAGTTATAAACGTGATTCAACCGCGATATTTTTTTATCTCGATTTGGATAAATATTATTGTACATATGTTAATGATCCATGACTCGCATGACTCTCATATGTACACTTGTTTATAGGTATTTTATTATACAATATCATACGCGAAGGCTTGTTACGTGATACCTTTGAAACGGTGATCATATTATTAAATAACGTGTAAGTTTATGCTTGAATATTTAAATTGCGAGTCGCGTCATTACAGCTGGGATTGCAAAAATAAAGCGAAAGAGCTGTTTGTCTTTCCGCCCATTGTCGCGAAAGTCTGAAGTTACTTTTGGGTAATCGTAAACCGCCTCAGGTGTGTCTAGCTAAATTAGAAAAATAGCGAAACAAAAAATGGAAAAAATAGTAGAGCAAGAGATGACTAAAAGTTAAGAAATATGATTGAATCGTGATGAGCTTTTTCATTCAACTGAGGTTACCAATTGAAAATCAAACTTTTTATTCAACTTCCTTTTGTTTTTCAACGAAAAAATTTTAAAGTTGTCTTTGAATTTAAATATTTTATTATTTCACTGAATTTTTCCATACTACACTGAGAAAAAAGTTTGTTTGATTTAAATTCGTAGATTTATTTAAAACAACTTAAAAAAATTTATTCAATATGAACGAATTTGGTTCATTTAAATTTGGATTACTTTGAACTAAATACTATTTTGTTTTGGTTTATTTGATTGAATTCGCTCATTTATTTCATTCAAATAAGATTTGTTACTAGTTAACAAATCTCGTTTGAAATAAATCAAGTGACATTTGTGTCGCTACTGTCGTTATTTAAGTTATCGTAATTTTAATACCTTTATCGTTGCCTGTATAATTGAGTAATTTTGTATATATACATAAATTTTTGATGTATTTAAAATTGAAAAAAAAAAAAAAAACGATAAAAATCCAACTCGGATCTAATGATTTTAGTTTATTAGAAAATACCCCAATATAAATTATATAAATAAAAACTCATTCTCATTGCTTTCATAACCCTAAAAATATGTCAGATATTATTGACTGTATTACAAATAATGATTTTTTTTATTAACATTCAAATATTAAATTTGTTTATAGTTTACAAATCTGATTTGACTGAAATAAATGATTTTAAAAATTGAAGGAATATTTGTTAACTATAAGCAAATAACTATTTCATTCAAAATAAATACACTGAATAAACCATATCTTTGTATGAAATAAATTTATTTAATTGTGTCAAATAAGTATTAGTTGGTGATATTTAAATAAGAGAATTCTTTCTAATAAACTATTCTTTGTCTACTGTCACAATAGTTAAAAAAAAAATTTACTCTATAATTTTTTTTTACTCTTTTAAATTTCTTTTCTATAAATTAACACTTTAATCGCTCTCATTAAGTAGAAAATCAATTTGAAATTCAGAATATTAATTCAAAAACATTCTGCTAAATTACCTAGACTGTATAAGTAACCTCTAAATTTGTAGGAACTTAAATATTTGCCCAAGAATTCCTTCAGACTGATAAAAATAGAGAAATTATAACGACCCGAGTTCAACTCCATTATAACTCTAAAAAAATAGAGAAATTCATTGCAATAAGAGAAATATATTATTTCTATAATTTTTTTTTCTTTAATAAGTAAGTCAGTAAGATACAAAAGCTCTTTGGGTTATCGGTAGATATCGAGGTCCAATAAAAGCCGTACTGTGTTTCATAACAGCGTGAGACAAACTAAGTAAAATAAAATAGAGAAAAAAAAATTGGTTAGGATTCGTTCCGGGTCTAGGAAAGCGTGAAAAAAAAAAATAAAAATAAAAGAAATAAGCGGTTGCGATCGAGAGGAAACGAGCGGATGAGAGTTGAGGGTTTGGGGTAACAAAAGAGGAGTAGAGAGGAAACAGAGAAATACCACCACCGAACTCTCGAGATTAAGTAATAAATGAGCGGACGAGGCCGAACTTATTGTTATCGCGAATTGAAAATACGTTGGAGCTTAATCCTCAGGACGCACTTAGCCCCTCCTCCGGCGCGTGGGCAGGGCATAGAGAGCTCTGTTAGACCTCTAATGATCCTCCTCGCGGGCACTCTGTAAAAAGAAGAACAAAAAGAGCAAAGAAAGCCCAGTTATCCATGTCTGTGACCACACACACACATCTACACACTTGGAGAGGATACATAATCCAAGGCAGCTTTTTGTGAGAAACCAACGGGGTCGTTTCACGTTATCTACAGCGGATAAAAGTTGTGAAAAAGGGCTCTCGAGGATACTCTCCCGTAAAGTTGAATATATAAACAAACAGAAACAAACTAAAGAAAATAAAAAGTACTGATGAAAAAATAAATAAAAAGACAAAGCACCACAGTCTCATCCATGGAAAGATGAGTCCTGATGGCGTATGCTCCTTCCCCGACACAAGAGCACCACACGTGAGAATTTGAATCAGCTCGTACCGTAAAAGTAGGGTTGGGTTAGGGTTCGCGACACGCCGAGGGTTGTAAAAGCGCGAAACGGAATAAAGAAGATCAAAGAAAAGCAGAGCAGTTAGAGAAAATAAAAATTAAAAAGAAAAAACGCTCAGGAGACATTGCTGTGTGTTATATATGTTATATATGTTATATACAAGAGCTAAGGTAACACATGACGCTGACTCTTCAGTCGAGACGTTATCCCAGACTCTCTCTCACACACACACTTACTGTTATTTTTATTTTTTGCTACTGTGTGTAGTGATATGAGTAGCGTCAGTCTGTAGCATGTTGCTTCTTCAAGAACAAGTCTTCATTACAAAATCAAACGTCTACGCGCTCACAGGCTTACATAACCGCCGGCTCAACTCATTTCCCTTCTCTCGGTATTATATGTCCACATTATATACTTTTGCTACTACGCTAGAGTACTTCGTACTTTAACTCGACTCTTTTTCGAGTTTACTGGGATATAAAGAGGAAATAATTTTCCGAGTTCATTGAAATGATTTTAATTTATTTTTATCTTGCATAGATGCGGGAAGTTTAACATCGGTTACAGGAAATTCAGTTAATTACTTTTTGATTTAAATTATTTAGATAAGATTTCACAGTTGTTTTTATTTTTTCATAGGACATATATTTTTATCTGAAAATATATTTCGGACGAGCAAGTTAATTTTTTATTTTTTTTATTACAAAATCAAAAAGAATGGGTAATGAAGACAAAAGACAAAAGTGTCGAAAGAAATGAAAGATCATTCCCAGTGGAGTATTAAAGTGTAAAACAAAAGTAACTTGACACTGCAATTTCCTCATTCTCATGCTGACTCTAAATCAGACGCAATGTTACCCAATTCTAGTAGTAGGGTTGACTCCATTACCTACTAGACCAGTCTCTAATTAGTCAAGCTCGATTAGGTAGCTAGGTGAATGGTAGGTCGGGGCTTGGTTAAATGCAGAAGGAAGTTGCCCCGAGTGCTTGCTCTTTCCCTTTTACTTCATACATCAGCATCTCCCTGGTCCCCAGCCATTCTCCTCCCAGCCCACTTCCCACTTGGTCCACCTTACTCATTATTACCTTCCTTGCATTTTCTCTATTATTTTCCTTCATTTAGTCTTCGTCATTTTCAACTGTGATTTTCACTATTGTAATCAGCGTCTTTTTTCTTTTTTTATTTTATTTTTTTCCTTTCTATATTATAGATATACCATTCTGGTCTTTCATTGATAATGTTTTTTATCATTTTTCCTGTGTAATAATTCTTGTGTGCGTTCGATTAGACTATCCAGAAAAAAAATTAACTTTATTCAAGAAAATTTTTCTTCTGCTAAGAAAACCAGTAGGAAGAAAGCCGATTTTGTTGCTTCGAAAATTTTTTAATTGATTTCTGAATTTTTGCTTCAAAATTTGTTTATGCTTGGTTCAAAAGTATATGTTCTTAACTTAATACAATCTAATTCTTAAACTAAGAAACATTTTGTTAATATAAATACATATTTAAACACCAGATCGCGCATCATAATTTGTTTATTCAAGTATGATGTTTTCTTTAATTAATTAAGAGATGTCAATATTTTTAAACACGACTGAATTTTGAAAAAAAATATTTACTTAAATCAATTTATTTTTTTTTTTCTGAGTATTCAGATTTTATTGTTCTCTCAAAGTGTTAAATTTCACCATTTTAAAATATTTGCTAATATCAATTTTAAATAACAATTAATTTCGTTCAAGTTAGTTAACCCTCTACTCGTTAATTAAATGTTACAGAGTAAATGTAAGAGTTGTATTAATTTATTCAAGCGTGACAAGGAGAGACAATGCCATGAACCCTTGAAAGGGTTCATTGAAATACAGAGGTCCATTTTAGTCTCCCTTGATCTTCAGCGACTATGGAAATACAGGCACAAAGATAAAGAAAGCTTAGTGATTTAATAGACTATAAGGTCAGTGTAATCAAGTTTTGCAACCTCAACAACAGATTATCGCGTATTATTGCAATTACTCACTAATTTTCTCCCTATTCATTACCATCAGCGTTTCCCTTGGTGATAATGAGCTTTAATTGAGGAAACTGAATAGAATGCTGATACAATATATCTTTAAACCTAAAATTGTACTACCAACAAATAAATTTACGAATAATTTGGTGGTTTTCTTTCACGTAATTGAAGATATTAAATTTAATATTTTAATATTTAATATTAAGCTTTCTCAAAGCATCTTAGTGGATAAAGTACAATAAAAAAGCCAAGAGCTTTTTTGAAATTACAGTATTACTAAGACTTTAAAGTTTAACGTGAAATACCGATACTTCCACGGGTCATGGGCAGGAATTTATGAGATTTAATCCTTGCTGGAATCTCGTTGTAACGTTAACGTTTTTCGTTCTTCCAAAATAGGTGTCTTCTGGGATTCGCTGGCATAATTTTAAATTAAAAAATAAAAAATAATAATAATAATAGAAGAGAATAAAAATAAAGGAGTGATAAAAGTATGTATTATTTGTTTTTATCTTTTCTTTTAATACGAAAAGATCGGGTGAAAATGACGCGATGAAAGTAATGCCGACTCTAATATTTTACGATAAAAGTATAAAGAGACGTTATTTAAATTGTCTAGTTGTAATTTGGTGATGTACAATAAAAATAAAATAATATTCTCGAGATACTTTAGTCAACTTAAACTCTACTTTCTTTTTATTTTATTATTATATTTTTAAATTATTTTTTTTTTGTTTTTTGAGTAATTTACTTTTATACACGTTTTTATTTTAATTATCTTCAACTTTAGTTATGAATTTTGATAGCAAATAAAATTTGCCCTCTATTACTTTCAATAACAATGAATTGACAAAAAATTTTATTATATTTCTTATGATTCAAGTATTGTAAATAGACTCAGTTTAAAGGAAAATTTGATGTCAGTAAAACACTTTTAACATAAAAGAAAAGATATAGTAGTATTCAATAATGACAAAGTAAATAATTTCCATAGAAATACATAGAGGTAGGTAGATTTCATTTAATACTCTCCGAAAGCCGTAAGCTGTTTGTATTGCATTTATGATACTCGAATATATACAGTTCTATATTATCTGGGAAAAATTTCCATGTTTATAGAATACATGATGATACGTCTCACACTCGTTGCCCATTCAGCGAGATTAAATGAAAATAAAAAACCTTTTATAAATATGTACAACTTATTTTTTTATTCATATGTATCAGTACTACCTCTAGAGCTGGATAATAATATTTTAAAAGATTTTTTAGCACTGTGCTTAATAGAACTCAGTAGTTGGCATTGAAAAACATCATTTACAATTTTTAATCTTTCTCATGAATAAGATAATACTTACAGTTACATATTTATAACATACTTCTATTTATAAAAAACATAAGAAAAATAAGACACATTTGATAAAATGTCAATTAGCGGTACATCGTGTTAATAAAAATATTTACATTTATCTGTTTATATATCAAGTAAGATGTTGTCATGTATTCATTGACTGTTGAGGAAATATATTAAACTTTTTTTATAAATATTTTGAAGTGAGATGCTCTGATAGAAGAGTTTATTAACAATTAATAAATTCATTTGTTTGGAAAAAATTAATTGGTTTATTAAATATAAATTTATGTTAAATATGATAGTTAATAACTATTTATTAATAGCTAACTGAATTTGATCGAATTTTAAACTTGATCAAAACTTTCGCTCATGGAATAAATGTGTTAAGTTTCATCAAGATCCCTTGAGAATTGCAGCTGTAATCGTGCTGACAAGGCTTGTTCTATCATATATATATATATATATATATATATATATATATATATATATATATATATATATATATCAACTTTTGAGTTGACTCTAATTTTTGGCATAATTTAACAAAATAAAATATATTATAGTAAAATTTTATTTAAATTCCAACATGAGCACATTTGCAGTAGACCGATTTCTAGAGAAATTTATCTAAAAAGTGTCAAAATAAAATTTTTTACACTCAGTTTTTATTCAAGGGTCTAAATAAATATTTACCAACTGTTAACAAATATTTATGAGATGATTTAATAATAAAAATCCATTTAGTAACAGTTGATAGAGCTTATTAAATATTAAGAAAACTTTTTATATCAATGTATAATATTATTATTCCGGAGTAAAAAGGAATAAATACTCACGGTACATTTCTATGGCAACGGAAGCTGAGACAGGCTGGCTAATGTTGTTGTTAGAAGCTTGGCAAGTGAAAATAGCATGCAAGTCAGCTCTTGTCAGACTTGTCACGACCAGAGTGTTTCTCCTTAAAGCTGGGAATTCTCCGGGTTCATCCTTAGACTCAAGAAGCATTTCACCCTTCCACCATCTAACGGTAGGTGACGGTCGACCTGTTGGCATCACAACATTTCTATTGTTATACATCCTCTCCGTAAATGTTTTTACGTCACATGTTTACAATCAATATAGTGGAATAAAAATAGTCTACGCGAAACGTTTTCGTATAAATCAATACCAGAGTACTGAAAAGTCATTGTTTAATTTAATTGTTAAATATTCCACACAATGTTTTATGTTTTCATGTTTCATATTTTACATTTTAGCACGTCAACGTCAAAACAGTATAACAAAAAACTATTGTTTATTTTATTTCGCGTTTATTAACGAGAACATTATTATTTTATGTAAAATTTTTGACGTCAAGTTTGAAGTTCATTATGGAAAAATGTATCAAAATGATGAATTTATTAAAAATCTGTATAGGTAAATTAAATAGTAAAATTATTAATAGTTGACTTAAAGTTTTTGGAGTGATCAATATATTTGCATTAATATTTGTTTTGTAAAAAATTTATAAGAAAGTCTCTTGAGCTATTGACAAGTTCAAATCAGACAGAAATATCATCCATGAATACTATGAATAAATATTTATTTATAAGATCATTTCTCAGATAACTTTAAATTTTAATATTTTTAATTGAAAATAAAAAATTTAGGTTATAATTTTATTTTACTTTATTTGATATTGACTTTGTAAAAGATTTAATTTTGAATTTATCAATATTAAATTGAGAGTTTTCCTTTGCCATTTCTTACTTTAATCTTTTTAGATGATATGTTATATGACTAATCATTTTAACCGACTTTAAACTATCAACTACTTAAAGTTATAATGATTAGTGTGTTATTGATCTATTGGTAAATCAATTATCGAATATGAAATTGAAACAAAAACTTTATAATTCAATTTATTTTTATTTTAATGTATTTTTGAGAAAATAATTAAATAAACAGTAAACGGAATAATGATTTTATACTTTACATACTTTTCGCATTATAAGCAACGATATTTTCTCTGTAAACTCAACGCTTCAACAAAAGATATTATGTATATGCATATATATAGTAAGAGGCAGTCTACTAATTAATAATTCATAGTACACAATATAATTTATTGCGTGCGCTTAATTATCATCAAGGCAAACATGAACCACTTTTGAACGTAAGTTTCAAAGGCAATATAAATAAAACAAATTAAAATTTTTATCACGATTTACAGAGTATCATTACATGAAAAAATAATAGACGATGCGACAGTAAAGCATTCGTCATAATTATTATAAAATTAGTTGGAATTTTTAAAATTATAAATTTAAACCCAGATTGATATCTAATAACAGTTTTATGAACAAAGCAAAATAATCTCGCTTTAAAAACAGTTAATTAATTTTATGCATTGAAATTTTAATGAGTTAACTTTTGTATTCATTATTTTATTATATAGCCGCTTTTGTCATGAGCTTGAGACATTAAACTGGTTCATAAAAGAGTCCGGCTACCTAAAAATCGATACTCCATTCGAGTTGATTAAAATAGATGGTATCATAAAACAAAATATGAAAAAGAATAAAAATAAAAGCTTATAACTGCGTGAAGAAAAGTGAATAAAAAAAAATATTTACCTCCAGAGACGAGACAAGTAAGTCGCATGTCACCGCCTTCTCTGTAAGTTCCAGCGATAGCTGACACAGTCTTGCCGTGCTCATCGATAATATTAGGTTTGTGAGGCGGAACTGTGAAAAATAATAAATTTAATAACTGTAACGTTATCGCTATCAATCAATATCCATTAGTATTATTAAACTGACATTTCAGAAAATCGCACTGCGGCAAACTAATAAAATTAATTTTAATGAAAGTGATATTGTTATTAATATAATAATATTAATAATAATTGATTTTTGGCTTGGTCCAATCCCAATATTTTTTCAGAATTCTTCTTAAATTTTTAGTGAGCTTACTTTGAATTTTTCATTGATTGACATCTCACTTAAACATGAAACGGTTTGTTTCGAAAAATGGTGTAACGATATCAATTGTTGGATTCGGAATTAGTCTTATAATTAATTCAACAATATTATTAAAAATTAAAAAACTGATCTTCATAATAAAAAATTGAAAAAAAAGGAATGATAGCAATAATAATCACTTTTAATCAATCCACTCATTATTTCAATCATCATTACCGCTCGCTGACGATTTAAAACTAGGATTTGCAATTAGCGTGCTACTGTCTGGTTTACTTTCACGAAACTGAAACAGACAGGTACAATCTACTGTTTCAGAGACGACGTGTTCGCTTGTCAAAAATTTAGACACGACCCTTCTTATTCTGTACAGCAAAAGAGAGTTTGCTATCAACCACCGACACTTACATGCTGTTTCAAAAAGTTAGTGTTATCACCGTGAGACTTGAACGTCACTTCTCCGAATAGAGACACTGATTTATGTTTATACTCTTTTTTCACTTCAATTCCCTAAAAGTTCCTTGGAATTCTCCTTAGTTTTTTCGTTTAAATGAACTTGAAGTAATTAAAATTTATACGTGCTGGATTTTCAGTTAATTATTTATGGGTCATGAAAATTTATCGGCTGGTTCATCAAGTTGATTGGAATTCGAAGAACAGTCGAGCAATCATGTGAAACACCAGCTTAATAAATTTTCAAACGTTAAGAACCCTTGACTTAGAATTTATATATATTACGTATAATATATATCGTGAGTTAAATAATCGATAATCTGTCAAATCAAACATATTGAGTGTTCTCGAATTGATTGGGCTTAAACGATGGAGAAAATAATATCGAGAAGAATTTAGAGTAAAAGTAAACACTCAATTAATGCACTTTATTTTTTTCTTAAATTTAGTTCTATTAATTTTTCTGATTACTGATCGTATAATTTTTTATTTATTTTTTTTTATAAATCAGTATCAAATTAATTGAGCTTGCAATGATAAAAAATTAGTCTGATTTAAGAGAAAAATCTTGAAGCAAGAATTATTATGAAAAATTTTATTTTCCGTGTTTATAAATTTTAATAAGAAAGCTAATACTTGCAGAAATTTGTTGAAGTAATAAAAATACTTCATATCAAATGATTCCAAAGAGAGAAATTGAAACATAATTCAAATTATTTTTCTTATACGGCAACGTGATTATTTCCGTCACATCTCCCCGCAACTATCTAAGCGTATTTCCGCTTATTGAAATTCACTCTTTCCACCGCTTTCTCTCATATTTTTATTAGTAACTTCTACTTTATTACTTCGAAAAATTTTTTACTTGATTAAAAAAACTAAAAAAGAAATTCTTCCGAATAACTCTCTTGGTTCGAGTTAATTTTTTTATTAATTTACATTTCGATTGAAAATTTTTCAATAAATCAAATTATCATTGAGTGATTTTCCATCAGATTTATTGTAATATAACATCTATGCTATTTTTATTGTTCAGGAAGTAGTCTGTGTGTAATACTTCGACATACGTCTCTGTATACGAGGCTTCATCATAATCATACAATTTCTCCCGAGTGAAATGAGTTCACATAGCACACATATTCTGAGATATAATTCTCCAGGATGACAAACATGATCGACTTATTTAGAGATATGTTTACCCTCAACTGTATGATAGGGTATATTATCATCGAAATATATAGACATACTTTGCATAAGGGTAGTAATTTCGTGTAAATTCCAACTTTCGACAGGGTAAAACCGGATGAGCCGGAGAATGAGGGTAAGAGAAAGAAGAGAGAGAGAGAGAGAGAGAGGAATAGCGGAAGTGAGTGAAATAGAGAAGATATGGCAATCGGCAAAGAGAGTGAATTACCGGAGTGCATGGAAATATCCTGATAATCGGCTTAACTCTCGTATATCCCAACCCCGGAGTCCTCAGCATGCTTTGAGGTCATTGAATTATTTTGGCACACGAAACTCGACGAGGAAGGCCCGCCGAAATAACTACCGATACAACTGTGCCATGCGCAGTCAACTGTACGTGTGTTCAAGGCATCCCTCCTATCATTTCTGTACCCCTACATATTCATATATTATATATATATATATATATAATATACAATATATAAGCACAAAACTGACTCATCCGGTTACCCGAATTGAAGTCTCGTTCTACTGAATTTAAAGCGATCTACTGAAATGGTAACTTTAATAATTTTGAATATTATTCCGCATCATCGGTCGTTATTATTGATAATAACAACGATAATAAGCAGTACCTGAAATTTTAAATTAAAGAGCTACTCACTGACTACCGTAAGATGTATTTTCGAGTTTCTCGTCGGGCTGGCTACGAAATCCACTCGACACAAATACTCTCCGTCGTCCTTTTCCTCAACTTGCTTTATATTCAAAGTTGCTGGTTCACTGGCCGTGAAAAAGTGGGCACGTTTATCGAAGTATTTTGTTTCTATCCAGTGTTGCGCTTTGTTCAGTCGTTTGTCATAGCTGAAACAAGTAGTCAAAACTTACTGATTAATATCAATACGGTTTAGCCAAAAAACTGAATTATTATTGTTGACGATATCATATTTTCAGATATGATTAAATAAATACACTTTTTACTATGGAGAAAATTAAATTGATTTCGTTATCTTGGACTAAGGAAATAAGTTCTTGAATCAAATAAAATTTACTTGATGATCTATTTTTTTTTTTTATTATTATTATTTCCTGGGGTTAAAATTTCTTTTTGAAACGAGTTAAATTTTTCATATATTATTTTTGATAAGAATATGGTATATTTCTTAACTCGTTACAAACAATATTGTTAAAAATAAATTTCATTTAATTATTTCAATTCACTGATATAAAAAAAAATAACTTTATCATGTGGAAAAATTTAGAACCTCAAACATATTTTTGAAGAGTTTGGTCATTTTGACCAAACAAAAAAATTCTCTATGTTGATCTTGGTTTAAAAATTTTTTTTCGATTAAAGTGAATTTTTTTATCAGTGTAGACAAGTTTTATTTTCAGTTATTCGGGTAATTAAAGATAAATATAGATGTGATTGAGAATTTAATTAATGAGTATAGATTCGGGTGATGTTATTTAGGATGCTCACTTGTACCGTCTAATGACAATGACAAATAATGTGTACACGGGGAACCGATTAACAAACAGGTTTATCGATCGAAGTGATCTTTTCATGTATATCTTTATACCCCATTAATATATGTGTATGTACAATGTGTATTCTCAAATGTACTATGTCTCGTACTCACAACAGCTATCCATTTACCCATTCACCAATCATTGCTGTGAGGATTGGAACGGTTTTACAACCTCTGGGAACAACGTGCTGTACTTGCACCAACATTACTGGCATAGAATTTGTCCAGAATACCGCCGCGACTAGATTAGTCACGAGTAATCAACGTTTCGCTATCATGAGCACAGGGTTTTTGGTATACGTGATGCTATGTGTCATATTCCTGCCGCGGTATATCTACATGATCTATGTGGATTAGAATTAGCATGTGCATTTGATTTAACAATGAGTGATATATCGGATTAGAGTTATTACCCCAAAGAGTGTCATCGTATACCAACGCGGTTCGAAAATAACGGATTTCCTTCAAACAACCTGCCAAATTCACCTCGATTATCCCTAACAACAATTACGAGTTTTGTTATATCAATATTTATTCGCTTCTTTGTAAAACGAGAATAAAATTAAAGCTTCCAAGCTATGTATGGATATCCTGTTTTATTTTATTATTTCATCAATAAACTTATTCGATAATTACAATAATAATATTTCATAACAATTTTTGATATTTGTAAAATGAAAAAATAGCAAGATTCTAATTCGATATATAAGCTATTTATTGCCGAAAAGCTATATTTTTCAAGTAGGCTTAAACCGCTTGTATATATAGATAGATAATAGATTTTATTTGATCCTGGAGTTCTAAGCTCCTTCAGGACCATTAACAATACATAAAGATAATAGTTTACAAGTATGCATTTGATACAGTGTTGGCAATACAATTTTAAAGATCTACACTAATTAATAACTATCATGTTAAACTGTGAGATTAATGGTAACATGTGAAACTTTTTAACAATTGCGTTAAGAGAGATTAGAAAAAAAAAACTGAAAAAGGCCTGATAACAACTATAAGAAAGCTAAGTATTAAATGACTTTTGTAAATAATAATAATAATTATTATTGTTAGTTTGTCTTATCTAATAAAAATATTATTATAAATTAGATGATTATATATCATTAATATAAATTTAAGTGTAATTAAGATCACTTAATGGTATGTCCATAGTCGGCCTTTTGACTTTTTTGCACTATCAATAATACATTCATAGAAAAAATAAATTAAGATGATTCTAGAAAAAAATTCACCTGAGAAATTGTTCTTAATTTAAGTAATTTTGATTTGGCCTAAGAATTTTTCTCTTAATTTTTTTTTTTATTAACATCCGACTCGTTGGTTTCAAGTTGATATATTAATTATTAAATTTATTGCTATTGAAGTTAATTAATTAATTTATACAAGTAAAAATATTGATTAAGGTATTCTATTTAAGAAATGCTGAGTTTAAATAAGATAAAAAAATTCGAATATTCACGATCACTCTTATAGCACCCATGATAATAAGGGCTTTTACCTTATTCAAAATTCAATCATTATATGTTTAATTACCCTTTACCGCTTTATGCTATATTATTCAATGGTTACTAATTTCCCACGGTGCAGAATTACAGCCGATTTTACTGCGTGCAATGTAACATTCAATTACTAAAGTACGCTTAAACTGTGTTCACACTAACTTTATTTTTGATGCATGCTTTACGAACAGTAAAAAATTTACTTGTAGCAGAAAAAATATAACGAAATATAACTGTTAATAATTTATAAATGCTAGCTGTGGATTTAATCAACATGGCACACGAGATATAAATACGTTTAAATTTCATTGACAGAGTAACTATGTGAAATTCCTGTGGTTAAACATCAGACGGAAATGTTTCACAGTGTAAGCGTGTTTGTGAATTGAACGTTTGAACGTTTGGTTAAAGACATTGCACGCTTTCAGTAATGTATATATTACCTATACGTACAAATAAACTTCCACAAATACATTAAATATATGTATATATATATCCATAGCAAAACATACGTATATAGATGTATATATTTATCGCTACAAGTTGTTCGCTACAATGCAACTGACTGGGAAAGCAACGATAACAACACAATGACAACGACGTGTGTCTTTCTCCGTGAATCCACTCTACCCCTCTCGCTCATACTCGCTCTGTGATACGTGCTTAATGTCAGGTATATAATGTTACAGTTACAGATGCACCTCAAGAATGTCGGGGAAGCTTTGTTATTGCGAATATGTGAAATTTTATCGTGCATCTAAATAGCTCCGTTAACTTGCTTTGGTATTTTAAGAAAACAATGTGCTTACATTACTATTTCAAAGGCGATGAATAATAAATATAGTATAGCTGCTATCATGGTTGTCGTTATTATTATTAGTATAATTTACTTTTAGCTATTTTATGCGGTGTCATAATTCATAACAATATGGTACCATTTCAGGCGCTTTAGCTTTACAAAGTGTTCCGATAAATAAACAATAATGTAGTCTACAACAGATCATTTAATAATTGAAATTCGATAATTTTTATTGAAAACAATATCGAAATTTCATTTAAAATATTCTCGTAAAAAAAATTTTCTGACATAGGCAATTGTAATGTTAAGACTAATATGGCTATTTATTAGAATAAAGAATGAATTTTTATTATAATTTTTAATTGTATGTGTTATCTAAAGAATGTGCACATCAATTATCATGTCGTATGAAATGAAAACTTTTTTAGTAGAAATTTTTTCGATTTTTATCTCAGAATTTAAAACCTCAAAATTAATTCTTTTTTAAAGAGACGATTCAACGATCATGCACCCTCTGTCGGAGATTTCCTATATTGCTTTTGGTTGAAAAATTGTATATGACCATTTCAGATAATAACTTCACGGTTTATTTTTTAAAAATTTTTTCTTGGTAATTTAAAATATTGAAAAAAAAAAAAAAATATTTTTGCTAAAATTCAAATCAATTTAGAGATGACATTTTTACGTCAAAAATGGACTTTGATTAGAAGACCATGAATTAATCAATTATTTCTAAAATATATTATGATCAATCAATAATACAACTATAAACTTAGAAAATTTTTTCCTGTAAAAGTGAAAAAATAATTTATTTCTTCATAGACGTAATCAACTGACAGTTGACAATAAAAACCTTGGAGCAGTTTTAATGTTCATTTATCAATCTACGATAAAAACCAACAAAAATAAAAAGAGTAATTTTGAAATAGACGATTCATCATATTAATTGAACGAAATATAAGTTGGACGAAATATACCAGATACTTTTTTCTTGGACTAAATATATTGGCAATTGTGTAATTGATGTAGCCGTCATCGAGATCGATGTAAGAAATATGGATGTTTTATACCACCGTGTAAAATACGAGAGAGCACGCCATTCGGCGATTACTTAGCCAAGAGTCGTGTGTACTCGACAGGACTCAGCCTATATTGGTTCTATGCTCTATACCTGACTCTCTAAAGCAAGCATCTGAATACTAAATCGGAATATTAATGCCGAGTACTCGACAGCCGTAGTGGCTATTGCCAGTCGTTCGAGTACTTGCAAAAGACATAATACCGGAAACGTTAATGCACGATTTTCTCAACCGGCTCTCTACATAACAAGTAGAGTAGTTGCTGTTAGGTCAGACGTCGGAAACCGCCGAGAATTCTTCACGAGTTCCATTTGGTAACTTTTTACTCGTATCAAAAAGTATGATTAATGTCTCCCAGTAATTTGTATCATCAATTTATTTTTTTAACAAACTTTTTGAATACAAAAAATTTACTTTAAAGCTCTTAACAGTTCCTCATGAAATTACGAGGGAGGAAGAACAGATTCGTGCGTGTTTCTCAGTAAGTAGATGTCTTAATGTATAATAAAGCTGATGAAACAGCGGATGAGTCTTGAACACGAGGAAGGATAGAAATGGAGGAGGTCGTGGCCAACAGAGAGCAACTTCACATTGAGCTTTTCCGCTTGGGAACCAACTGAATTCAGGTCTCACACTAAGGGGTTGCTGATACTTGCCTCGTTTCGGTTCGGTTCTCCTCTCTAGTCCTCTCTTTCCTTCTTTACTCTCTGATATATGTATAGAAGCGCAATACCTATACCATATATATAACACTGCACCAGTACCTAGAACCTAGTAGTAGACTCAACTAAACTCAGTACACTCTACTTGACTGTACTATAAACTCAAACCTCTAAAGCCGCTTGCCACAGCCACGATTTTCAATTACCGGTGGGGATATGTTCTCGGCATTTAGATCTCACCAGTAGTACCACCTGTAATAGTAGAAGTAGTGGTGGTAGTAGTAGTAGTTATAGT